ACTAATCATAACCATTGACTGATTACCAATCGATTATATAATCACTGCACCTGAAATGAGTTAAATGATGACGTCACCCTGCTGCTCTATTTAAGACCGGGAGCAAGTGGAAAGGGCTTTACCATTATGGCGAATTGCCCGATGAAGCTGGAGGTAATTACCAGCGAAACATCGTACTAACTCAAACTGTAAATTCATAATAAAGGTTTTTGGGTTAGATCGCGTTTATTTATAAATGTGTCGTAACCCTCCACCACCCGACACGGCCAATCAGCAAAAAAAGTGTCACGTTGACAAAAAGACAAATAGTTCACTACTTTAGCCCACCGGTGTGTTGAAGAGTGAATCCACATTTACAGTTTGAGTACGACGTTTCGCTGGTAAATACATCCAGCATCATCGGGCAATTCGCCAGAATGGTAAAGCCCTCGCTTGCTCCCGGTTTTATATAGAGCAGCAGGGTGACGTCATCACTTAACTCATATCAGGTGCAGTGATTAGAGGCGGAGGGGGGGGGGGTATTGTAATTATATAATCGATTAGTAATCAGTCATTGGTTATGATTATTAATGAGTTGTAGATTAGTAATTCTTTAAATCAAAATGTAATGTGTATTATTTAATAATACGCTTCCAGGCCGCACTAAGCCTGTAGCTGTCAGAGCGATTAAAGTTATTTTTGTTCCTCTCAATTTCAATGGATTCTCTAATTAGTCTTTACACACCACTGCAACATTGTCAAAATCAATTGAGTGTCCTTGTTGACAAGCATGTTCTGCCACTGCCGACAGTTGTGTTTGAGATCATTTAATATTTCTCTGATGTTCTTTTAGTCTTATGCTGATGTTACGTCCCGTCTGTCCAATGTAGCAGCTGCCACATAAACAATTAATACGATATACACCTACTGTTGATAATTTAGGTAATGCGTCTTTAGTGCAAGATACTAGTTTTTGAATTTTGTGTACTGTACCAAATCTTACTGTAATGTTTTGCTTTTGCAAAACACGGGCTAATTTGTCAGTTACTCCTGAGATATATGGAATTTTTATTGTTTTAACAATCTGGTCGCTTTCAGCAGTATTGCTTTGCGATCGTGATTTGGCATTCAGTGCTCTGTTAATTTGAGCATTATTGTAGCCATTCTGTCGTAGTGCGTCTTTAACGTGTTTAATCTCTCTCACTAGACTCTCACCATCTGACACTGTTTTAGCCCGAATTAACAGAGTACTGAATGCCAAATCACAATCGCAAAGCAATACTGCTGAAAGCGACCAGATTGTTAAAACAATAAAATTCCATATATCTCAGGAGTAACTGACAAATTAGCCCGTGTTTTGCAAAAGCAAAACATTACAGTAAGATTTGGTACAGTACACAAAATTCAAAAACTAGTATCTTGCACTAAAGACGCATTACCTAAATTATCAACAGAAGGTGTATATCGTATTAATTGTTTATGTGGCAGCTGCTACATTGGACAGACGGGACGTAACATCAGCATAAGACTAAAAGAACATCAGAGAAATATTAAATTATCTCAAACACAACTGTCGGCAGTGGCAGAACATGCTTGTCAACAAGGACACTCAATTGATTTTGACAATGTTGCAGTGGTGTGTAAAACTAATTATTACTGGCAAAGACTAATTAGAGAATCCATTGAAATTGAGAGGAACAAAAATAACTTTAATCGCTCTGACAGCTACAGGCTTAGTGCGGCCTGGAAGCGTATTATTAAATAATACACATCACATTTTGATTTAAAGAATTACTAATCTACTACTCATTACTAATCATAACCAATGACTTATTACTAAGCAATTATATAATTACAATACCCCCCCCCTCCACCTCTAAACACTACACCTGATATGAGTTAAGTGATGACGTCACCCTGCTGCTCTATATAAAACCGGGAGCAAGCGAGGACTTTACCATTCTGGCGAATTGCCCAATGATGCTGGATGTATTTACCAGCGAAACGTCGTACTCAAACTGTAAATGTTGTGGATTCACTCTTCAACACACCGGTGGGCTAAATTAGTGAATTATTTGTCTTTTTGTCAACGTGACACTTTTTTTGCTGATTGGCCGTGTCGGGTGGTGGAGGGTTACGACACATTTATAAATAACGCGATCTAACCCAAAAACCTTTATTATGAAGTTTTGTTTTTATATGCTAAAATTTCGTCTCGTAATCCGCGGTGCACTGCGTTGGCGCGAATATATACAGTACAGTATATATGTACAGTATACGCCCCCCCCTTCCCCCACACGCTGCACACACGAAATCCAGCGCTAGCAGTATTTTTACTTTGATGTGTGTGCCATTATGAGTTAGTCTCACAGTAAACATAAGAAAAATATACATTGGTACGCTTGTATTTTTGTTTTGGCCAGCCATCGAACAACGACGGTCCACTGCATCAGATGGGCTTCTGCGGTCGTCTGGAAGGTTCTTCCTTCTGACATTAGGAAGCCAATACGCACTTTTAAATCATCTAGATTGAAAACTCATTTCTTTTTGCACTGCTTTTTGTGTTTAGGGGCCGTCCATAAATAACGTCACGCCATTTTTTACCCCCTCCCTCGTCACACGGCGTCACAAAAAGTCAAACCCCCCCTCAAATATGACGTCACAAAGCTCTGCCCCCCCCCCCAAAAAAAATATAAAACATGCTTCAAATCGCTTTAAACTTTTGTCATTGTAGTGCGTATTTAATGTGGCACTGCACTCTGATGTCGGAGAAAAAAAATCTTAAATAGTCTATTTACTTAAGTAGAACGCGTTGTCTATATTTATTTAAAGTTGCGCATTTTGATGTGACGTCACATTTCTCACCCCCCCCCCCCCCACCCTCGTCACACATCGTCACAAATGTCTGACCCCCCCCCACCAGGTGCGTGACGTCATGCTTCATACGCATCCTAGATTGGAATGTTGGAACGATTAAATTACCAATCGCCGGCGTGCGTAAAATAAAGATTGCAGTTGAATAACTTTTTATAAAGATCTTGATTTGAAGCTTTCGTGACTGCAGGAATCCGTACTCTTTGGTTCTTTCGGTAAAGTCACGTGGTAGGTAGAAAGATGAAACAAAAAAATAAAAAAATATATATATAAAGATGCTTTCTTGTATTGGACGTACTGTGAAGAACAAAATGTGAAACATGAAATTACCAAGTTATGGGAAAACTGTTTTCGGGATTATCGCCAGGTTTCGTAAAATGATCACCTCTTAAAAAATCGTGACGAATGATATCGCGGAGCAGCACGATTGTAAATACAAATCACAGGCGTGTGTCATAACTATAACACGTAACCTTGGCATTTGGATTCACAGGGTGTTATTATAGACGTCATCAGCCTTGCGTCATTGTTAGCGCTCTGTCATTCCTGTTCGGTAACGGTGGTTTTACTCACTCGCCTTCAAATAACAATGTGTACGGCTGCGATCTGCCGAGTAACCCCTCTGGCCTAAGACGAGTAAGGGTGAAGTTTAGGATGAGCGTGACGACATCACAGCAGGGATCACCGTGTGCCGAGTGGGTGACTCATTTCTTTTTTCTCGGCCCTCTCTTGCTCGTGACGCAACACTCTGATCCACGTGCAGCGGCACCCCCCTCCCCCAAATGTATTTTGTCAATTCCACAGCTGAATGAGGACCGCTCCCCCCACCCCTTATGCCGAGTGGTTCGGGGGTGGATGGGGAGGCATTTGGTCAGTGCAAGTCGGTGAAGGCAGGGAGAAATAGATGTGAGACCATAGAGGTATAGTACAACAGTGGATTATTTGCTGCACTGCTCTCGAGGCCAATGACGTATTTCCTCGCATGAGCCTGTGATGCCTGTTTTCAGCGTGTTGGTCACCCACCCAGAAACTACCCAGGGTCAAAAGCCGCTTAGCTTTTGATATCTGATGAGATTGGGTACATTTCTGATGGGTTTGCCGTACCATTGTGTACATACAGCACGTTGTTATCAGCATACGATTCCCCGCCGCTGAACGAGGGCTTCCCCCCATTTTCTTCCACTCCATCCTGCCCTGAGTTGTTGCTGTCCAGTAGCGGCCTCTGAACTCTGTGCAGTCGTCTCAATGCTGATGTCTATTCCGCCGTCTTCCTCTGCATGTTTCGTTCTACGTACATACGCGTGTTAATTAATTGCTTTAGAACTGCTCTTTGCGTTTCGTTTGTTGTACCTTCCCCCGCACCTCCGATTAGCGCGGTTGGCTACGTAAGGTTCTTTTTCTGGAAGACTTTGCTGTTTTTTCCTGAATTGTTCTGTTGTGCGTAGTCACTTTTAAGATGTTCCTTTTCTTTGGTTCTTTCGGTAGAGTCACGTAGAAGGGAAACAATAAAATAATAAAAATATAAAACAATTACATTTTATTGTTTTATAAAGTCACGTAGAAGGGAAACAATAAAATAATTAAAATATGAAACAATAAAATTGTATTGTTTTTTATTTAATAAAATAATATATAAAACAATAAAATATTGTTTTATATATTATTTTATTGTTTCCCTTCTACGTGACTTTATCGAAATAACCAAGAATATGAATCCCTGCAGTCACGAAAGCTTTACATCAAAAGATGTTCCTTGTTCATGTTTTTGTTTGTTGCGGTTGCACCCGAGTCAAGAGCCACATGGCTCAAAGGGCTCTAACTAATACATGAAAGTGAACTGAAAAATTGTCTCCACTCCGAAGTAGATTTTATCCGTGATCTTCCGTCCCGTGTTTTCATGACACGTCCTGAAAATGTAACCTTGATTTCCTGTGCTTTAGCAACGGCATTGGTGACCACTCTCTTTTTCCGTTGTCTTAATTCCTTTAGCCGTCTCGTCAATTAGCACAGTTGGCTCCGCGCGTCCGATTAGCACGGTAGGCTACGCACGGTGCAAAAGAAGTCCAACGTAAATTTAGACTTCAAACTTTCGTGACTGCAGGAATTCATATTCTTGCTTTTTTCGGTAAAGTCACGTAGATGGATAACAAGACTTTTAAGCAAAAAAAACCCACGACGTTTCGATCGCAACACAAGCAGTCTGCTTCAGGTGGAGAGAAAAAAGAAGACCCGCCTGTGTTGCGCTCGCAACATCGTAGGTTTTTTTGTTGTTTTAATTTAGATTTTTGTTTTTTATCTACGTGACTTTACCGAAAGAACCAAGAATATGAAGTCCAACGTACATAGATACATACATCAACTTACTACTAATGTACTTCATGCGCAACGTCTGCTGACCTGAAAACGATCATGAGGCACATTCTAGATACGAAGTTTTAGATATCACGGGAGACTTTCAATCATCCGATTTTTAAGAGTAGAGATTCAGTATTTCAAAGTAAGTACGCACTATAAACAGGAGACGTTATACCGAGCATGTGACAGTGAGCCAAAAATATGTTCTCCTATCCTGAATAATGTATATGCTAGTTATGGCCCCCAATAGCATTCACCATTGCCATTAAATGTCCTACACATGCGATTGTAGAACAAAATGTTCACATACCAAGGCCGTGATTATAATATAGATCACTATTAGACATAATTGTAAAAAAAAAGTCCATCCTATGTGTTAGTGAGTTTTTTTGTAATATTTTATGCAGGAAATATCAGCAAATTCGTTTTCAAATTAACATTTTTCTGGGGGGGGGGGGAGGACCCCCAGACCCTCTGGAAGATTTGGTCCCCCCCAATGTTGAGTCCATGGCTACGGCCTTGTCACATACTATAACGTGACTTCAATCAATGGAATCATGGTTACGCAATGATCAGCGTCTACGCACCGTTGTGTGTTGATCATGGGAGTAGGCCTGCATGCTTCGACGCACACCCGCCTACTCCCATGCTGGAGGCATCGGGTGCCGTGCAGGAACATCGCTCTGTGCGGCGTTTGTAACAACTATGTTTTATAATGATAACTCAACAACATTCGGTTATAACATTGCCTTACAAATATAACATACGCAATTGGTAACGTGTCCGGTAATGGCTCTTCTTCACAGCACACATAGGGTACAGAGAGTCGCCTAGTACTATATTCTCTTTGGTTCTTTCGGTAAAGTCACGTAGGTTGAAAAAATAATAGATCACAACGTTTCAATCGCAACAACAAGCGACCGTCTTCAGGTGAGAGAGTATATATATATATTTTTTTTTCTATTGCCAGAAAGGGTAAAACCTATTGTTAATTTTCATCATTTTTGATATTTCCAAAATAGGTCCCATATTTTTTTTTATTTTGAAGGCAGTGTTATTCGTTCATGACTTTTCATTACTTTTGTAGACCCAACTAATTCATTTTGACAAATACACTCGATAACATGTGCTTATTACAAGCTGCTATTATGGAATCCACGAAGCAGACACAAATTCAGGTATGTACAATAATAATAATTATTCTGTGATACTTTAAAACAGTAATTATATGTTTATACTAGAAAATCACAAATATTGCCCCATATTTAACTTACAAATACACCTTCATAACATTTTGAGTGTGCATTGAGTATTCAATGGCACGTTCAATAAAATCTTATGTGGAGCAAATATCACTGGATATTTACTTCAGAATGTATTATTTATGCCTAAAACTAGTGTAACCCCATTTATTCAGGATTTACGAACATACTTTTGGCTTGTGCAATCATATGCCAAGTAAAAGGGGTACTGTTTAATGGTATATTAAAATTAAACATTTATATTCTACTATTAAAAATTTGATGATTGAAAATCTCTGGTGATACCTCCAAAATAGTTTGCGGTTCAATTACGGCAGGCTGCCTTGGTTGTTTGGTGGTGTATTTACCGTAAAAAGGACGTGCCGTCTGATGCGTAGTGAACGTTAAAGATCCCATAATGTTTAGTAAGTTGGTCCTGGGTAATTTTTTAACATTTGCAGGAAGGAAGTGATAACTTGAAAAATGTATCCGCAAATTATTCAATTGGGATTACACATAGTAATCATCGCCACCTACTCAGATTGAACTATAAAGCTCCTTTTCACTGGACATCACAGATCTCATCACAGATGTCCAGTGGACATCATGTCCTGGCCGACCAATGCCCGATTTAAAGCCAGACCACAAGTAACTTTATTGTGCGCTTTGAGTTGTAAAGCAAGGGCGGTGCCATTGATGTTGTAATGTCATTCATTTTTTCATGGATGACTTTGAGATGTAGTTAATGAGTAATCTTGTGTGTACTGAAACACTCCCAAAAAAATGCTGACACCCATCCATTGCTGCGTCATCTTCAGATTACCACGCAAGGTGGCTGTGATGTTAGATGGTGGGGTCGAGCATTGGTGTATTGCTCATAACTTAATAAAACGACCAACCCATCCATCCAGAGGATCGCTCGTGGATTGTTGTGGGTGGGTGAATGCACAAGTTGTTGATTAAATTAACTGTCATAAATGTTTAGAACATATTGTAGGCACGTGTAGAAAAATAATTGGTCTGAGGCACCACTGTCCCGAAAGCATAACACCTCATCTTTGATCCGTAATCCTAAACTATAAACCTCTAACCTTAATCCTTAACCCTTAACGTAAACCCTGACACTAGACGAACCTTCAACCTCTAACTTATGCAAAAATGAAAGATACGGCATTTTTTCATATCTCATGGATGTCGTATGTTTGTTGAACTTCTTTCGGCACCGAACGTAGCCAACCGTGCTCAAATAAATTAGTTGTCAATCCTAGATGATTTAAAAGTGGCATAGCTCCAGTGGCTTCGTAATTTTGGAAGGAGTTAGCATTTCCAGACGGCCGCAGAAGCGCATCTGAAAGCACGCGATGCAGTGAGATCTTCTTTGTTCGATGGTGAGCCAAATGGCATTTGAATCGGACGACGAGTGGGTGAATATAATCCGAGCAAGGTATTTTATTGTACGAAAATCTAGTCTGATCAGTTTAGAAATATTCTGGACGCTAGTGGCAGAAATGTGCTTTCTTTCCACAAATCTGCAGGCGCGGTTATCACTCCCTTTCTGCGAATATTCAGAAATGACTCAGGGCCAACTTACTAAACATTCTAACCCCTAATGTCGCCTGATATTAAAGGTTAATGTGACTTCAATTGCAACGCCATTGCGTTGCCCATCTCTGAATCCAATGTTTAATTTGCAAATGAATTACTACTGCAAAATACACGTTCCCACATAATCACAAGGAAGGTGGGTCTCCATTGAAAAAAAACCCGTAAATATCACAGGGCTCACACATGGCTAATTATAGGATATTTGTTAATCATTATCTAAAGGTGTGTTATGCAACCACGGGTAATATCGCACCAATTACTTATAGTACAACTTCTCGATTGCATTAATGTTTGCACGCAGTACTTTTAATGGTAAACGACTATTTTACGTAAATGGGATTCTTAATTAATACGAGACAATGCAAATCTGGGAATCGTGATATAATGTAACACTGAACTTTTCCTGACTCATTTAAGGTACATTTTATACGTAGCAAAATATTCCAGTGTAATAGCTCTATAACTCTCCACCACCCGACAGAGCCAATCAAATGACGTTGTCACGTGGGAAATTGCAACTATGTCCAATTCATTTGGTTTTTCAGCAAAATGTTGAAAATGAAGCGACAATTTCCTTTGATATAACATTGATAAAGCGTTCACAAAATCTCAGCTCTCACGTGAAGAGGACTAGAGATTTGTCCCCCCCCACACCACCACCACCACCACTTTCCAATTCAACACACGCGTATCCGAACGATAATGTCACTTTAGACTTAACGCTAAATAATCTTTCTCATTGTATATGGGAGGCTCTTCTTCTTCTTCCACGGTCGTGTCGACTGCCATCGACAACATCAAAAGCGCCTTCTATAAATTGCGTTATCAGTGCGTAAAAAGGGGGCGCGCGTAGGCGCGCACGCGCCCACACACAAATACAAACAGGCACACGCCCTTCGTGCTCTACGTCAATCGAAGGTAAACCTCACCACACCTAAACCCCCCATACGCACGGGCACGTGAACGGAACCCTGGGCTCGTATATAAAGCCCGATCCAAGAGGCAGGCATCTGTAGATAGCAACCCCCACCCAACCTCCCACGGGCACTCACTCGCAAGAGCACCAACAGCAACCCTGCGACAAGACAAAAGGGCATCTTGCACCCTGCTCACGACATCACCAGGTGAGGATAAGAGCTTCATCGCCGCAAGAGGCAGCCTGCTTTACGGCAGATAACTCTTGGTATATTTAACCTTTATGGTCGTTTTTATTGAGCGAGTCTGTGAAAATGTAGCTGTATGGGGCGCCACAGTGGCGAGATGGTATCTTCCTGGCCTGGTATACAGGAGGTCGTGGGTTTAATCCCGACCCTGATGCCTGCTGCTGTATATTTTAAGTTTGAATGTTCTCAACCGTGGTCGCGTGGATTTTTCTCCATGTCTTCCGATTTTTCCCTCCACATGTAGAGACACCATGCGTTTGTAGTATGTGGCTGCGATGAATCTTCACGTGATGATAAACCAATTTGTTGAGCCATCATTTGTGGCCAGGTAGCTTCTGAAAAAGAGCTATGTAGCTCAGTGGGCCTTACTTGGTAAAATTTAAAATAGTTTAAAATGTCCTTTGATGTATATTGTACGTGGTCCCGTTTGACTCTGTAATTAGAAAAGCGTTAAATACATTACAGCAAATGACATAGCAATACACATCCAGGTAAATATTTACGCGATCTGACCCAAAACAAAAACTCGTATGGATGATATTGTTCGCGAAAGCCTACGTGTTAAACAGGTTTGTTGACAGTCTTTATTTGAAGCTTTCGTGACTGCAGGAATGCATACTCTTTGGTTCTTTCGGTAAAGTCACGTAGGTATAAAAAAAATCACGACGTTTCGATCGCAACACAAGCGGTCATCCTCAGGCTGAAGTTCAACAGTTCCACTGCTGGGTTATATTTTATACCCACGTGACTTTACCGAAAGAACCAAAGAGTATAGGTAAGTTTACAGTGTGCATTATATAACTTGTCTGTAAATAAAGTTGGATTGTTGCTGTTCAGGGAACAATCTTGCTAGTCGCTTTTATGACCGGGAGGGAGGATGATTAAGAGTGGTTCGGTTTTCGATTTAAGGAGAGTTCGTTGTGGTTTCACACGTAACACGCGTGGTTTCACGCACGTTACACGCGAGTTTCACGCGTAACACGCGAGTTTCACACGTAACACGTGTGTTACACGCGTGTAACACGCAAGTTTCACGCGTAACACGCGAAACTACCTGGAGAGCGGTGGTGCAGGGGTTGGCGAGCTGCCCTATGACCCGAGATTAATTCCCGCGCTCAGCCAACATCGGTCGACTCGTCCTCAAATGAGTACCTGGTGCGGTGTTTAAACATCACCACTGGGGAGACAAAGGCGGCCGGGCGTGTTGCTGGCCACCCACACCCTCGTATACCGTGCGAGCCTTCATAGGTGCTCGCTATCAGTACTTGCCCTAACAGTCTGTTGAGGCTACACGGGAGGGGGATCTTTGTCTTTGTTTTACCTGTAATCCATAGACATGATCTGAACGTGTTCTTGCATTGCCTCTAATCCACAGACATGGGTTTGGGGGGGAAGAAGACCGCCAAGTCGGTATGTCGACGCCTCTACACCATCCTCTTCGCCTTCCTGGTGCTCGGAGGGCTCATATTCACCTACGCGATCTCGTTGCCTCTGGTGACGGACGAGTACAAGAAGATCGCTTTCGGCCTCTACGGCGCCTTCCTGGCGCTGCACCTCATCGTGCAGGGGTTCTTCGCCTACCTGGAGCGTCGCAAGATGCTCAACGACAAGCGCCCGTGCTTCTTCACGAGCACGGTGGCGCTCACCGTGTCCGCCTACCAGGAGGACCCCGACTACCTGCGCCAGTGCCTCGTCTCGGTCAAGAACGTGTACTACCCGGCCGACAAGCTCAAGATCATCATGGTCATTGACGGTAACAGCGACGACGACCGGTACATGATGGACATGTTCTGCGAGATCTTCGGCGACGAGGCCGAGACGTTCGTGTGGAAGCACAACTACCACTCGTGGGCACCGCCCGAGAGCGGCCTCTCGACCGAGGACGACCTGTACGCCGAAATCGCGATCGAGGACGAGCAGCGGCTGGAGGTGGAGGAGCTCATCAGGACCAAGCGCGTCATTTGCATCATGCAGCAATGGGGCGGCAAGCGCGAGGTCATGTACACGTGCTTCAAGGCCCTTGCCGGCTCGGTGGACTACATTCAGGCGAGTCGTTGGGACGCGGCTCACACGAAGAACTCCCCTCCCCCCCCCGCGGTAGAGCCTGAACAGACTTTTGGGGCAAGTGCTGTTAGCGAGCAGCAACTGTGAAGGCTACCGGCAGGGGGTGGGGTGGCCAGCACCAAGTGACCATGTTTAACACACCGCACTCAGGTGCTCATTTGAGGCTGATTCGACCTAGGGGAGGCCCAAGAGCGGTTCAGATGATCCATCACCGGTGTTGGCTGTGAGTGGGAATCGAACTCGGCTCGCCGGGTTCATAACGCAGTGCGCTAACCACTGGACCACCATTCTCCCCCACACACACAAATACACGCAAAGCAATCGATGAGTAGCCATCAAGCGTTAATTCAACATCTGACACGAGACTTAGTGGGTGACAGACATAATGTATGTTGACATTTTGTAGAGGTGCAATAACACAACGTGCAATATTCATCACAATGTGTTGACAGATTTTATTTGGTTCAATAGCCTCAAAATCTTTGGCCAGAGCAGGCAAAAAAGACAAAGATCTCCCGTGTAGCCTGTAACAGACTGTTGGGGCAAGTGCTGTTAGCAAGGACCTACGAAGGCCGGCACGGCAAACGAGGGGGTAGGTGGCCAGCACCACGCCGGGCCGCCTTTGTCTCCCCAGCGGCAATGTTTACTACACACCGCACCAGGTACTCATTTGAGGCTGAGTCGACCTAGGGGGAGGCCCAGTACCGGTTCAGACAATCGTCACTGGGTGTTGGTGGCCGTGAGCGGGAATCGTACTCAGGGTGTTCGGGTTCGTAGCGCAGCACGCTAACTGCTTGCTAGTTCATATTCTTGGTTCTTTCGGTAAAGTCACGTTGTTATATATATATTTTATTATTGTATTGTTTCCCTTCAAAGTGACTTTACCGAAAGAACCAAGATATGAATCACTGCAGTCACGACAGCTTTATATCAAAATTTGCTTCCTAGTTCCTTTATTTTTGTTCGTAATACAATGTCGTGTTTGTCCTTCTCTAGTTTTGACCAGTTCCCTTTTCCTGCAACATGCAAAGCACGCACGGACACTCGCTCGTTCTGTATCGTGACCTTTGCCACCAACGATTGTGCCACTAAGACCCGTAACTGTACAACATCTGTACCGTCGCAGGGCAGCATTGCAATAGAGCAGTGGTGGTTCTTATCCTGGGGTGCGAGATGCCCTTTCAGAGGAACCAAAGGGGTGCAGGTTAAAGGTTAAGAACCAGTGCGATAGAGAGACACCTCGCAGCTCATTGGGCCCTACCTGCTGAAAAAAAATAAATCCACATCTTTATAAAAATCCAATGCATTAGTGGATGAAAGCCAATAATATATATTTCCTACTCTCCCGTGTATATTTTGTACAGACTATAATTAAAGTTCAAGTAAAAAGCCATGCTTATAATAAAGAGTGTGCAGTGCTAATGCATCTCCATTGATGGCTCTGAGCCAAGTGGTAAAGATCGCACATTCGTAACAATCAGCATGACGTGATGCTCGTTGCTCGGTTTGATTATTTTATACGTTCAAAAAATCGACGAAATATTTTGCAAACCTATGCATTACGTCCCCAATTGTCGACAACATATTAAGTAACTTAATTCGCGCATCTTTACTTATCGGCAATAAATCATTTTACAGGCGTGGAAAATATTACGTTTGTTGCACACATTAAAGCAGCTGATAAATCGGGGACATTTAGTTAACAGGCACGTATTAAACATATTCAATTATCAAATGTATATACATAGGCTGCATATAAATACATGTTGTCGATGTTTAAATATACGGTTTATAAATAGGCTAAAATGTAGAGGCGAAGTTTGACTTCTATGTTTGGGGGTGGGGGAAGGAATTGGCTTTGTCCCTCACTTTAGGAGTCGCGGGTGCATATAATTGATTTAATTTTAATCTGAACATAAATTAATGAAGTTGTCCAGTTTGGGGGGGAGTGGGATTCCCCCCCCCCGTGCCCCCCCCCCCCCCCCCGCAAACTCCGCCCACGGCTACAATTAAGTATAATGTCGATATTCATGCCACACAAACCTGTTGACCTCCCACAAGTCAGTGCTTTACAATGTCAACTATAACGAGGTCTTCTTGTTGTCGTTGTTACTGCTGGAGGCAGGTGTGTGACTCGGACACGAAACTGGAAACGGATGCCACGCTGGAGCTGGTGAAGGTGCTAGACTACAACAAGGAATACGGGGCAGTCGGGGGCGACGTGAGGATCCTCAACCTCAACGACTCTTACATCAGCTTCATGAGCAACCTCCGCTACTGGATGGCTTTCAACGTGGAGCGGTCGTGCCAGTCGTACTTCGACTGCGTTTCCTGCATCAGTGGACCCCTCGGTAAGCCTCGACTTTCACCCGATCGGCGCGGTTGGCTGCGTATGGTGCGAAAGAAGCTCGACATGCCTACGATACATGCGGCAACGTCTGCGATCTGGAATCCCAAATTAGGACGCCGCTTTGAGCGGAAGATTTGTGCCAGGAAAGGTGCCACGTGTGTAAGAATCAATACAATTTACTTGGCTTGATTTGTAAGTTGAGGAAATGTGAATTTCGCAAACGTCCTGGAATATAATTGGATTTTTGAGAAACGAAAGCAAAAAAATCAACCCAGTTGTTCTGCATGTACATGTGCAGCAGCCCTTTAAACCCACTGATGGATGAGAGCCTCGTCAAACCGTGTGAGATGTAAGGGTTTTTTTTAACCATACTTCGCCAGTGAAGGTCATTGCTGGTTGATCAAGGCATGGAGCATGGAGTTGGGAGCAAACAAATACTTAAAAAATGTTGTTCTGCAGGTACCTACCTGGGCCGTGCGTCCAAAACTGCCCAGGCTGCATCCCAAGTATTGCTAATAATAATAATAAAAGGCTTTGCAGCCTGCAACTTCACCAAAGCAAAAATGCTCTCGAATTTGTGACAGCGGGCAGTGGTGTAGCTTTAGATTTTGCAGGCAGTGCAACTGCACCGGGCTCAGGCGCCACTCTGAAGAGGGGGTGGGGACGGCAGGGGGATTGGACAAGGAGCCTCATTTCATGCCTGGCACCAGGAACCCTGCCAACCATGCCGTGCCACTGCACACCGATGTCAGTACCAAATTGCTTAGTTCCATCACTGCCTGCACCATCACGAGCAGCACATTTCTGTAAAATCACACGCAAGTCGTTTTTATTTCCTGTGAATAATGTTAGGTGTATATGTGAAAGAGCAGAGTTTATTTTTAGTCGTGCCTTTTATTTTACACGCTTTTATTGAACTCGCTGTCTGTTGTTGTTGTTGTTGTCGTATCCTCAAATCTTGTAACTCAATTTTAACCCACTTCCCAATGTGGTATCGACTGCAAACTTGGTATACATGTCATACTGATGACAATATTATATTCTATAAAAAAAAAATTAAACATTTTTTTTTATATGTTATCTTTCGGCTTGGGTCTAATTGCATCGATTGGCGGTAGCCCGGGTCACCACAAAATATTGGTGGGCCGGGCATAGTTTAAGGCTTTTTTCTGGGAGCATCGCTGGTACTATCACCCTGTCCTGCCGGAGGGCGACGCTGGGAGCGATGATGAGGACGACGACGTCGATCCCGCCAGCACGACCATGACCGCTGGCCGTACCAAGCGAGCGCCTGGTGCGCCATTGCCTCCAAGTGGTCTCGCTCCCAAAGACAAGGGGGGTGGCTGCCCCCGTAAGAAGCAGAACGTGCTGGGGAATGACCAGACCAGCATCCCGATGTACTTTCAAAACAGGCAATAAACAGCCGTTGCCACGCACAAATCCCCAGCAGCCCCCCTTTTTTATGGGTGTTTTGCGTGTTTTTTTTTTATTTCCATATTTGGCGTGCGTATCGGGCTCAGTGACATCTCCCGTCTTCATAGGCCTTCTGGTTTTGGAGTTATGGAGGTTTTGGCACCCCCGGGTCACGATGGTGACCCGGGTCACCGCCAATCGATTCAATTGTCCACGGTCAACTGACGTTGGCTGTAAATCACCACGGCCCCTTACGTTATGGCAAGCTTCGGGGCCACTTACTGGAGTCGTGGAGTTCTTCCATTACTAGCACGGTACATTTCATTAAAGCGTGTTTTTTTAAAAGTATTTTTAAATATTACTTATTTATATTTTGAGAGAGGGCCCCATACAGGTTGAGAACGATCTTAACGTGTCAGTATCTTGATATCGGTATTTGAGAGTCCAATGAATATTTCCAACAGGTCTCTACAGGAACGTGTTGCTGCAACAGTTCATGGAGTCTTGGTACAATCAGAAGTTCCTGGGGACCCACTGCACATTTGGCGATGACCGCCATCTCACTAACCGTATGCTGAGCATGGGATATGCTACAAAGTGAGTCCATGTGTGTTTCTCTGTGTTAACCCCTTGTGCATGGGCGGGAGTTCGCTTTGCCCCTCACATTATGAATCGCGGGTGCATAAATTAATTATCTTAATGGTAAACTACTGAAACTGAATTAATAAAGGAGTCTGGTTTGGATGGGGCATTGCCCCCCCCCATCCCCACAAAATCCGCCCATGCCCTCGTGCATAAGCAAACTAAGCAAAAGCTTGAGGACCCCAAACAGCTCAGGGGGACCCTGGATTATTGAAAAAAGATTTGCTAACCAAATATCACCTGATATTCTAATCCGAACATAACAATTACGATAATTTTTTTTTTTAAATGTCAATGAATGTCTCATCTTTAACTTATCTGCATCTCCTCTCTCATCTCGCTAGATTTATATTTTAACTCTACTGATCTTATCTCATTACATTGGGATCTCCTGTCTATATCTCGTGTGACATTCCCACTAAGGTTTTATAAAATGAAAGGGTGACCCCTAACTGGCTACCACCGCCACCCACTGTTGTTCATTAGCTAATTAATTGTTGTTACTATCGGAACACAAAAAATTACCATATTTAAAAAATGTGTTTTTTTATATTATTTTTGGAGAGAGTGGCACTTTATATGAATCGTATAATTCTAAACATTGGCATTATTACTTTTAAAAAAATGTTTATATTAGTCTTACCTTTATTTAGCCGTTTCACTATATTGCCGTGTGGCTTCCACTCTATTTTAAGCATCCGATTTATACAAATTATCATTTTACAGGTACACAAGCAGGTCCATTTGCTACTCAGAAACGCCAGCGCAGTACCTTCGCTGGCTCAACCAGCAGACGCGCTGGACCAAGTCATACTTCCGCGAGTGGCTCTTCAACGCCATGTGGTGGCACAAGCATCATCTGTGGATGACCTACGAGTCGACTGTAGCCGGTATCTTCCCGTTCTTCGTAACAGCCACAGTTATTAAGCTCTTCTACACCGGCAGCATCTGGGACATCCTCTGGGTGCTGTGCGCCATCCAGATCATCGGCTTCATTAAAAGCCTCTACGCCTGCTGGCTGCGGGGCAACCTGGTCATGGTTTTCATGTCCCTCTACTCGGTGCTCTACATGACGAGCCTTCTGCCGACCAAGTACTTTGCCATCATCACCATGAACAAGAGCAGCTGGGGCACCTCCGGCCGAAAGAAGATGGTGGGCAACTACATCCCCCTGCTGCCGCTGTCAATTTGGGCGGCCATTTTGTTCGGAGGAATTGCGTTCGCCATCTACCACGAGACGCAGGTAAACCACTCTGAAGAAGATAAAAAATACTTGATCTATGGGTCTGTAGCCTACGTCCTCTTCTGGATCATCATGATCATCTCCTACTGGGTTTTCATCCGGAAATGCTGCAGGAACCGCACCGACAGCTACAACATAGCCGTGTGAGTGGGCTACGGTGGCACTCCCAACAGGCGGGGGTGAATTGACGTTCATTGAGCCCAAACAAACGTATGTGAATTGCGGCAGGGATGCAAGTTACAAGATACTCGTTTAGAATGCTCATTCTTAAAGGTGCCCTCCTTTTGGAAGAACATTTATTGGCAAGTTCGTTTTGTGCATTATTTAAGTGAGTTTGAATAACGCTGATGGAATCCGTCTCTTCAAGACATTATTGAAGTGGAGACAATGTTAAACCAAAGGCTTTCAAGATGGAAAACATGAACATATGTTAGACTTTCTCAAGTGTACACCTCTGAATATGCCCTTTAAGATCAATTGTAATTTCATTCGTACCAGTCCCCTTTTTTATATTTCCCCGACAGGGAAGCCCTATTCACACCGTATACTGGGAAAATGTATTATCATGATTAATTGTGGATTCTTTTGAACTTTACTGTGCATTTGGAGCTTGACGGAATGGATGCATTCTCCAAGGTTGTGTCTGCAGCATGTATGTTGCGGTGTTATAATGTTGAGTGCCCTACGAGAAAATACGAAAGTTTTTGCCTCAACACAATGTAGAGTGCATTTTATTTGAGGGGGTGCTGCACGGGAGGAATTTCTTGGTTCTACATTTTAAAATGCTTGAGTGGATTGTGCAATAATGTAATTTGCTACAAGTATTGGGGAATTGCAAAATTGTCTGGTGCTAACTATTTAACTGAGCAGGTTGATGCGGGTTAAAGTGGGTCGGTAAAAGGGACTCTGGCGACTGGTCCGTATAGAACTCGCCACTAATGTTAGCTGTGGACTGGGAATCCAATTCGGGTGGCTGGGATCGTAGTGCAGTAGATGACGATACCGTGAGGCAGCTTCCCCAGTCTTGTACTGAACTGTTTAGCGTGATACGGTATGAGGGAATCCACAAACTAGTTTACGTATAAATTTTGCCTTAACTTTCTTGACTGCAGGAATTCATATTCTGTGGTTCTTTAGGTAAAGTCACGTAGATAGAAAAAATGTAAGTAAATAAAATACAAATAAAACATAATTTTTTTCTTTTATTTACTTTGTGACTTTACCGAAAGAACCAAAGAATAGTTTACGTATATATGTTAAAAAGTGCAGCTTACACTTTTGGTTTTGCACAAATACCATCCACAATGTGTGTTGAATTAAACGTGCTAAAAATGTTACTTTACAAAACAATATATTGAGATCAAACGTATTGTCTGCATCCCATTTTCACCTTTGATGATGTAACTTTATATCCACTTGCCTGCATGAAATTCACACTGTACAATATTGATGCATCGTACATCGCCAACCGTGCTCGTCGGAGGTGATTAACTTGGCGTATATTCGTTTCAAAATGTGGTATTTGTACTGTGCTTATTAACTGCGCTAAAAGGTTTTGGCTCCTATTCGCAGATTAGCACAAACCCATTTCGGCCTGATGGAGCGTGCCATTTTGGTGAATTGTTTGAGGTCAAAGGTCATTCACCACACGTGCATTGTGTTTACAACGTCTGTCCTGGATTTATGCAAAGCGAAATGTTGTATTTGTTAAATTATTACGGTTTCAACTGTTCGTACATTTTAATTGATGTGAAAATTATTGTCATTATTTTACGGTATTGTGTGAAGTTTATGATCGCATATGCAATAAATCAAACGAAAACAAAGCTCATATACTTCGTAAAATGTATCATGTTTTGTTGTCTCGTGCTGTATATTGTATCAATTAAATCAGGGGCAAGAAAATAATAAGTACAGGTGAAAAGAACACAGAACAGCATGAAGCATCCGAAATATATTCGGTCCTAAGTTGTTTTGTTTTAGTCTACTGAATAAATACTGCTGAAATAGTGCGATCCCAGAAGTCTATTGAACCAATGGGTTACGTGAGAAATACTTTTATTTACGTGCAGAGACAGATACAGCATATGTAGAAGACTTTGCTTATCGATTTTGTTATTAAGAATGCTGTACAGTACTCTAGATCGATGTCAGGAGAGCTTAACTGACATTAATACCCATTGATTTGTACAGAATTGGTACCTTGGAAATGTGTAAGCATTAAACTCGGCAAAATTCTCGTCCAGAACATTGATTTGATGTATTCTTGGTTCTTTCGGTAAAGTCACGTAGATAGAAAATAAAAATAAATTAAATTAAAAATAAAATAAAAAGCCCCACGACGTTTCGATCGCAACACAAGCGGTCTTCATCAGGCGGAGAGAAAAGAGGGCAAGCCTCCAAATGCAACTGATTTGATGTGTGTCGAATTCGCGATAGGCTTAACGTTTGTCAAATAAAATAGCCCGTCCACCACTGACCTCTGCTGGTCATAGAGATCTCCAATATTTGATGCCGAAGAGATGGGTAAGAACATCATCTCGCTAAAGTTACTTTAAAGCATTTTATGCCCTTGGTTGTTTACTGCAGCTGAAATATTTTGAAACCCTCAGTATTTTATTTTCTTCTTCGTATAGCTGTTGTTGATGTAGAGCAACAACTATCATTTTATATCGAGGTGGTTGAGCCAGATCATTGCGTCTGGGGTAGCGGAGTTAATCGCTGTGATGATGCCTCCCTTCATCTTTGTAAATCGGGCATTGAGTCGTGATTTGTTCCACGGTCTGTTCGGGGTGACCACAGCCGCATATCCGGAGAGTTTTAAAATTTCCATTTGTGCATATTTTGTATGGTGTATGCATATTCTTGTACAGGGAAATTGAGTCTTCATGTCCACACGGCGTACAGTCGTTTCAATACGGGCAAAAAAAAAGTTTTCATTTTTGTTTTAGTTATTTTTATTTTTTTTACCTACGTGACTTTACCGAAAGAACCAAAGAGTATGGATCCTTGCAGTCACGAAAACTTCAAATCTAGAAAAAAATGTTTTTCTCTGTGTTTCTCACTTGTGATGGGACTTTGTAGGATGAACGTTCAGGTTTATAAGGGGCACGGGGTGACCAACAAGGTCTGAATTGGTCTGTAATAAGGTAAGGCACTGATAAAGGGGTTGACAGGTGTGTGTATGGATAATAACATTGCTGGAATTCATACGGACTTTCTTTATTGTAAAATTGGCATGCCGGTGACTTGTGCCTGCCCATTGTTACCGCATGAAAGTAACCACGAGATGGCGACAAAGATCCTTATTCGATAGACAACACGTAGATCTGTCTTCATGTGCACACTATTGATGTTTGGGATGAGACCTCGTCATGACATGACGAGGCGTTATAACATTGTTTTAAGGAGTTCCAATTACGCTATACATTGCATTGAATTAATAAACAGTGACCGCCCCTCCCCCCGCCGAATCCAAGCAAATGGGCTACAGTGTGGCATGCGATGCAGAGACTGTTGTGCAAAGTGAAAACAAGATTTATTACATGACCAATGCCTCCCCACGCCATGCAGATTGTGGGGGAAATTTGCCCAAATCTGAGCACGCTGGTGAATGTGTGTGTGTGTTGTGAATATATGAAGCATAGACGTTGGAGCATAGATAGACGTTTACAATAACATGGTTGATGCATTGCCCTCTGCTGCCAACCACGAATTCCCACAGCCGTAAGAAGCAATCAAGGTGGTTCGCCCATGTGGACGACTTACCAGAATCAAGCCTGCTTAGCATGCAGGCGATTTGGTCATGGGTATCCAACCCACGTGTTATTGACGCTCCGGTAATTGGATTTCCATAAAGAAGTAACGTTGGAGAAATAATTTATTCGGATAAAAACTGGCCGTGTGTTTTTTTTAAAAATTATTATTAAAGAGTTCCACGAGTCTCTTAACATTTTAAGTAATAGCCACGACTGGCTTTGTGTAAAGAACTGTGAATGCAATACAGTTCCCCTGGACATTAATTGAATAACATTTAAAAGGCATACATGTCCACTAATCGGATTTAATAACAAAAATATCAGACAGCATAGTGTGCGTAAAAGCTCTCAGCCATATGCAGACCACCAGCTCAAAATAACTGCACGTGTGGCTATTCTGTCGTTTTAGACCACCGGGATCTTAAGCACGTATACCTTTTTTTAAATAAATGACTCATCCAAGTAATATTCTTGGTCCTTTCGGTAAAGTCACGTAGAAGGGAAACAATAAAATAATAAAAATATAAAACAATCAAAATCAAAATTCATCCAAGTAAATTGAACTTTTATGGACTTAAAAAGTGTGGCAAGGAATAAATGTGGCATGAACCCAATGTGTGTTGTGCATGACTAATTGTATAGTAACACGAATATGATACAACACGGAAAACATGATTTCCACAGCACGTGGCTAAATCAGGATGTCTTGTCAACACGGAGCTCCTGCTGCAGTGCTTATAAATATCCAACCAGCGACACACGACAGATGTGCAACGCTAAACATCCTTTAAAGTTCACGTACGTTTGACAATAACATGGTGTTAAAAAGGCAGCCTTGTGTCAATCCACTGCTGGATGAAGGCCTCACCGCATGACTGCCATCAGGCTTACATGACCATACTTTACCACATTGCCCATTGTGGGTTGGAGGCCGAGGGATGGAGGATGACTTAATCATGGTCTAAAGAACATCCCTCACAACCGATACGTCAAGGAGAGGCAATCTAACAATGGCTTTTAAAAAGGACAGCTGCCAATCTGTTTTTTTTTAATCCACAACCTTCGCTCTGTAAACAACATATCGTGCCAGTCCAAAGATCAGCTAGACTGCTGGAGTCAAGTTAACGAGCAACCCTGAAGCAAATAGACCTTGGCCTCGACCCCGTCGGTTTTGTACAGTCTCCCCTGTCTGTCGAATAAACTATGAAGATTGAGAATGGTTTGCATAAATCCGTTGCACAACTATACACGTACCGTATTTGTACATCATGCCCCATGCGGGCTGCCCTATGAATGGCCATATCAACCAGAATGTTGCCGATGTTCGTCAGATCTCGGAAAGCTAAGCAAAGGTTGATTCCCAAACCAGTGCTTGAATGAATGACCACCATGTATAACACATGTTATAGGCCGCTGCGGGGCTACGTTGTCGTCATTGCAACATAATCTATTGTTGTATTACACTTAGCTCCCTGTCAACTCGTGCTGACCAGCGTGAAGTGTGGTGGAATAACTCAGTCCCAACACGTAACATTGGCATGTGGTTGGAACCGTTGGGCTAACGATGGCCCAACGTTACATGTTTAGTTGGGTGAGGTTTCCCTCGTTCAGCAGTGGTTTTGCAACAGGCGTTGTGCATATGTAGTGAGTTTTTTACGGAGACGAAGACGTTGTCGTAGAGGCAACACGGTTCATTGGTTAACTAACATACAACTCCCTTAACGTCCACTATCTAGGCAGGCACAGCTTCCGGGCTAACGTGACTCACAGTTGGCAACTTAACTCTTTCGCCCTCCGGCTATCAGTGCCCTAGGGGAGGCTATCTGACCCGACCCAGCCAAGGTACGGGTCTCGACCACTGGTCCAAGCTCGACCCGGCCCTTACAAGGGCAGCGGGCTCGAGGTACCAGGGTCCTAGTCTAGCTGGCCTTCAGTCTTCGTAGCACTGCCCAGAGCTGCGCTTGGGGGTGCCCCTTTTATATACCTCCAGGCCCCTGGTACCGCCCCCTTTCTGGAACCTTCCAGAAGATCCTGGAAAGGCCCCCTCCCAGCCACCCACCTGGGGTAGGGGAGGGGAACGCAGCCTTCCTTGGGACCACCTCCCTCTCTATCCCCTCGTACTGGCTAGCACACCCTACCGACCTCTGGCTGCAACTGCAGGTAAGTGGATACAGGTGATGTGTGCATACGCGATCCGACGCTACACATACACAGGCTGTAAACTCGGTGGTTGTGCAGCCTCCCACAGTTTATAGAGGTAACAGTGCAAAACACACAAATGCTATAATTCAGATTGCTTGCAACGTACACCCCAACTATGAACTACCGTAAAATACACGACCTTTTTTTTGCTTGTATGTGTCTCCAGAAGCAGATTTGTGCTAGTTAATCATGGGTGTTCAATATCGCGTGTTTTTTTTTACATTCATATTTTGGTTTGCATTTGTGAAGAGCACCTCTACCAAGTATTGGACGATGAAGTGAGCTGTATATGTTACTGCCATTTTGCCATTTCACGGTTGTACAAGGGCCTACCTTTTTGGACGAGGGCCTTCTCAAATAGCCTGCAACCAGTATGATGAGGTATACTCGTTTGGCCATCCTTCACCATGCTGGTCAGTGCAGGCTGGTTGAAAGTGAATAAACGTAGGAAGATAGAAGTACAGATATTCCTCCGATTTACGGACGTTCGGTTTACGAAATTTCGCGCTGATGCAATTCACCAACTATGGACACTTTTCGATTAGCGAAACTGAATTTCCACGCGAATAAAATTTCACACGGCACGCACCGTGAGATCAAATAAGAAGCAACCATGAGGCTGCATCATCCATCCACGACAGCGTCACAGTGTCCCTACAGTGCAACATTAACGCATCTCCATCACCTTTACGTTCATTCCAACGTGCAGAATATCTTTTGGCGAGTTCACTGAAAAGGTGAATTATTTGTAGTTTTAAATTCATTATTATTAAATCGTTGAAATACATCTGTTCTTTATTTTCATTTTTGTGTCGTGAAGGGTGATATAGATGGATATTTTAGTTCAGGACTAAGAGTTGGAATTTTTTCG